TTCCCTTCCCTTCCCTTCCCTTCCCTTTCCCTCCCTTCTCTTCCCTAAGGGAGAACATTTAGGACAGTGTATAAGAGTAAGACATCTAGATTTAGGATTCTTGGGCTCATGTTCCGTCATTTCTGCTTTGTACTGGCTATGTAACCTTAGGCATTAGTTTTCCCATTTGTGAACTGGTGATAGTAACATCTGTGTCATAGAGCTGGTCTGAAGGATGAATTAAATGTTGGTTATTATTAAAGTATGTACTTGTTTTATGTCTAGAGAATCTCATTTAATGTTGAAAAATACAAGACATACTTTTTTTCCTCTTTGATGCTGAGGATTGAACTCAGGGCCTCACAGACACTAAGGATGAATTTTACCACTAAGTGACATATCCAGGTCCCTAGAATACATGTTTAAGGCTAGAAAATCTACTCAGCATGGCACAAAATGTGCACAAACATTTAAATCATATCCCTCTCCCAAAGATTGTCTCCATTCTTTTTTTTTTTTTTTGTATCATTTTTGAATGGAGAGGGTGTGCTTAGGAAGAATTGTATCTGAAAATTGGATGAGGATCTTCTAGGTGGTGCCAGACCTGAGGAACAGCTTTTGTTGCAGAAAGTTGGCCCCAGGAAATCAAAATCTTTCTTCCCTTGCTGCAGCGACCTGGGCAACAGCAGGAGGCTGTAAGCGCCACACGTACACCCCGAGTTGGGTGAGACACTGGCATTGGACTTGGCCGAGGGTTTGGTTTCCAGGAACTGTGGCCCCAATCTGTAGAGACCTTCCTGAACTCCTGGCAGAGTTGAAAGTCCTTGTGATCATTGTGTTCTTCCGGTTCCCCTGAAACTGTTTTGTCTTTCTTACAGATTTAAAAAGAAATGACTATTCTCCTGGAAGGATAAATTCCAACTTCAGACTTGAGAAGGACATGGAGCCAGCTGAGGTGTATCCAACAGATGGAAATTCTTCAGAAGATCAAACACGACTCTAAGAAGGAGAGGAGCAAGAAGATGAGCTCCCCCGCCTACTCTGGCGTGAACTCTGTGGTGATACAGATCAGCTGACACAACCTTGATGACATCAGAGCCTCTGCTAGAGTGGTCTCACAAGTGGGTCTGTGTGGGATGTGCCCTCTGAGCCCCACAACTCACCCTGCCCAGAGCTCCATGGTCTATGAGGTACAGGTTCACCTAGATACTGACCTCTGCACATCCTCAGGGTCTACAAGAAGATACCTGGACGACTCAGCTGGCAAGAGCGTTCCTTTATACCTCATTGCTCTCCCCAGGTGCTTGGAACCCTGGGAGCAGAATGCTGCGCACTGAAGAACCAGGGCGATGAATTTAATTTATTTTCTCACTGTGTGTGTAGACTTCAGCCCCTGTTGTTACTCACCACTTCACCTGCAGGTTGTACTCATGTGTGTATATACATTAAAAGGTTACATGAGTTCCTCTTTCCTTTCCAGCAGTATGAGGCTTTGAAAGGCAACAGGAAAACAGCGGGAAGAGGGTGTATTTGCATGGGAAGAGTACACTCCTGAGTCAGGCAACCCTTAGAAAGTGTCCTGGAGGAATCTAGACAGGAGTGAGTATGGTCAGAGGATACACGAATTTCAAGTTTCTCTGAAAGAAAGAAAAAGGGACATCTACACCTAATGCTCTTGCATTCTTTTTTAAAATTTTATTTTAATACGAGAACAAGGAGTAGAACTGGAAGTTATTAAGAAAGGGTTCTCTACTCTTAAGCTCAGGTGTATTAGAGAGTTGACTAAATCACTATGCATAGAGCCACTTCTTATTCTAAAGCTTTGCATGTATAGTACAGGGTAAATTACGCTGTGTTGTGACCCGTGAGGTAGGATGTGGCTTCAGCCTGAAGACATGTTTCGCAGGTGTCCATTTACTGTGGAGTTAGCCGCTTCAGTCCACCGTAAAACGGTGTCATTGCTTTCTGCGGCTCGAAGCAAAAGTTCCTGGAAGGTGGCCTGGATAGCACACGCGCAGTGTGCTTGTCTCTGTTCCGTGCTTGGAGAAGTCGCCCGACCCCAGAACAGGCATGAGCTTTCCACACAACTGGAGGAGAGGAGACTGGGGATTTTTTTCTCCTCTCTTCCTTCCTTACTGTAACCTTTTCCACAATTTTCAGCTTTGTCTTGTGACCTTACATTAGGTGATGCTTCTGAGCTTGTTTTTAAAATCTGTATTAAAAATCTGTATTCTTGTACTCTTGTGCTGTACTTCAGGGAAAATATCGCATAATGGGGTGGAAAACCAAAGATTTTGTTGGCCAGTAGTTGCATCTGATTCTTCTAAGTTTGAACCAATATGAGGGTTAATTTTTATCCCTTTTGCTTTGGTCTTGGTGGGAAGCAGGGAATTCGTGTCATTTCTTGATTGGTAATGAGGATAAAATGTTAATAGCTTTTGGGGGGCTTAATCCTAGTCTATAAATCAATAAAAGATATTTGGTACTCACTTCAGTGCCAGATTACATGGTGGAAGCAGGCAGAGTTTGCCTGTCCAAGAGCCAAACTGGAGCCATGAATTTATTGACCCAATACTTGTTACCTGCTATAGAACTGGAAAGCAAATACAATTTGATTTCAATGATCTGTGATGTGCTTTTCTTTGAATTTTAAGAAAAATCTACAGAATGACATTTTAAAAAGGCGAGCTGCTAAGCAAAGTTCCCTGGGACTGATTGCATATGACGTGCCACTCTTGACTTTGAGGGATTTGTGGTCACAAAGGAATGGAGTGTTCCTTCTGTCAGTTTTGTTCAACAGCTTCAGTGCCTTTTCTGGACTGTGTTAATGATGAAGATGCAACAGTGAGCAGCATATCGTGGTCCTCAGAAAGCTCTCTGTCCCATTTGTCTTTTTGTTTGTTTCAAATTTAGATTTCTAGTCAGTGCTGAAAAATTTGAGTTGTGTGGGCAAATGTGAAATCTGGAGATGTGTCCCATGTCCTACCTGCCCAGATAGTAGATTCAAGATTGGGATAAGAGAGTTAGGGCAGATGAGACGTAGCTCAGGCTGATTTTAGAACTGTCTGAGGAACTGCATAATACAGCTCTGAGGATCACAGATGGGATCTGAATTTCCGGACCAAAGAAGTGTCAGGATTCAGGGCATTCCTTCCTAAGCATCCAGTGTATAGTCTTCTCTTTCTATGGGCCTGCACATTCCTGGAGTGATTTTTGTCTTACAGCTTCTGAAAAATGAAGTCCCACACAGTGTTAAGTATTTCTGAACCTTCTTTTTTAATGGCTTTGCAAAACAAGTCCTGGGTGACTAGGACTTCCCACAGTCAGTCAGTGCTTTAAAAGCTTTTTGGTGTTTGTGACAATGATTTTAGAGGAGAGTGAAAGCTCTGGTTCTAGAAGTCATGACACAGATGTCGCTATTATGGCTTGTGCATTCAGTCCTCAGCATCTAGAACAAAGCATGGCACCTAATACACTTGCAACATTACTTTTTAAAAAAATAACAAAGCCTTCAAGTGACATTGGATTTCATTCATTCACTAGGTAATAAATCAGATTTGCATTTTTAATCTAGAAGGAAATGATTACCAATTCTTTAAGACCTAATGCAATTCTTTTGATCTCTCTCTTTTAATTTTCTAAGAAATAGCTTTTTAACCACCTACACCTACTATTGAATTCTCACCCAGCTCCTGCCCTCGTCACTCTTGATGGTTGCAGCGGAGTGCGTCCTTTACTGGTGACTATTGAAATGAGATGATAACTTCCCAGAAACTGCCTAGAAATAAGCATCACTTTATTACTCTTTGAAAAGAAGATTGATAGGAAAGTCATTTGAAAGATGGTTCATTACCATGCCCTAGTACGATTTCTTTACTCACATCTCTGTGAAGCATGAGAAAGGGAAGATTATTCTCTGAGGTTGGAATTTGAAGGCTGTGTGTTTGCCTCTTTGAAGTCTTGGTATTTAATTTTCTGTAGTCATTTCTTGGGCAATTTTCTAAGAAACTAGTTGAAGCTAATTTATCATAAGTTAAAGTCAAATGACAGAAAAGATTTTTCCCCCCTTAACAGCATTTTATTCCACAGAGGTTAGCTTCTGAAGGAAAATGAGACTTAAATAGCATTTCAAATCTCCAGCCACATGGGTGGTTACAGAGAACAGAAAAAGGATTCTGGAAATCACACTGTTTTTTTTGTTTTAGTTAGCACAGTTATTATTTTGTGACTTCGCTTTCTAGACTGTCACGTACAGAATAAAATATTGTATTTATATGAGACACATTCCTAAATATAATTAGGTAAGTTGTTTAATTTTTCAAAGAAAGGCTTTCAGTCCTCAAGGGATAACAAATTTTGGCCTCTATCAGTTTTCAACTTTTAGTATAAGTTTATATCATTTGCTTAACCTTTCTGTTAACCCCCAACTCTGAAATGAGATGAAGATACTACCTTTTCAGATGGAGGTGAATGATAAGGAGAAAGCATTTATACAGCCCTTCGAGAAGCTCATTCAAAAGGCTTCATGTGAGCCAGGGATCCATTTAATAAATAATAAGGGGTTTTCATATTTGATGTGATGTGATCATTATTTAACATTTACAGAAGATGCTCAGTGGACCTGCTTCATTACAAACACAAAAGTGGTTCTTCTATTTTTTCCTTTCAGACGGGAGAAAGCTCATGGCTCCCTTTTGGGTTTAAAGTTTAATTGCATAGCTTAAAATCAGGAAATTCACCATTTCACAGTCTCACCTGCTGTCTTTGCTTCTTGATGGATTCAGGTTTTCTCATCCAGTTTCTTCTGCTGTTCTTTGCCTGATGAAAGTCCTCTAGGACAAGATACAGAACCCAAAGCTAGAGTCACCATTGGTGACTTCATGCGTATCCATGTGTATAAACCTGTGTGTGTGTGTGTGTGTGTGTGTGTGTGTATAACTGGGGACTCAGGGGATTGAACCTAGGATTGTGCAAGTGCTTTACCACTGAGCTAAATTTTAAAATAATTAAAAAATATTTTGAGACAGGGTCTTGCTAAGTTATCTCAGGCTGGCCCTAAACTTGCAGCACTCCTGCCTCAGCCTCCTGAATAGCAGATGTGTGCTACCACATCTGGCTAAGACAGTGTTGCTTTAAAAAGTTCTTATTAATTTGATTTAAATTTTATTAATAAGAAAACTCAGATCTGCAGCTTGCTGGATTTTCCTTTAGAATTTTGATCTTAATGAATTTTTTCCTTGTGAATCTTTTGACATTCCAATTATTAGTTACAAAGTTCTTGCAAATGTTGTGGTGAAAACTCTTTCACAGATTGTCCAAATATGTACGTGACAATTGCCTTTTGCAGGAAGGATTTGGGGAAATCATCACTGACATCTTGTGCTTGCATTTTAGACTCTAATGAATCTTTCCCTGGTTACCAAGTAGATCACAGAGCCCCAGTACCCTTTGATAGCCAGAAGAAAGCCTCCGTGTGTTGCCATGTTTTTGAATTCCTGACTCACCCTTGAAATTTCATAGATGAGAATTTGGAGAACAGAGGTGCTGGCAAAAGAAAATAGAGAACAGAAAGAAAAAGGACCATCAAGCTGTCTGTCTGCAATGGGTAAAGTTCCAGAGTGTCGTGGATTGGAGAATTACTGTACTGAGAGAGCAGGGAGTGGTGTGTTTAGGAAGATCCTGTGTATGTTGTAGATGAATGTAAACTTGGCCTGGGCTAATGGGAGGAGAGGTTTGCCTCCTGCTGGAGCGCTTCTGGGGATATCTTAAGGAATGGGGAAGTAGAAGAGGTGTGGAGAGATTTGTGGCTTGGTTCTTTGCTTTGTGAAGGTGTTCTGTGTATTCTCATTCAAGACATATTTTTTGAGTCTTACCACAATGGCTTGACACCAAGGTTAAACTTATTAGATGAAACTAGTCTCTGTCTGCCAGGTTCTCCAAGACAAATAAATTTACACAATATCAATTCACCATAATCTGATAATACTAATCATTATAATGATGTTTTTCTTATTACTATACGTAATACTTATGATGCATTGTAAAATATATAATGAATGGTTAAATTTAAAAAAATTAATAAATTAAAAGTCACATTGCCATTAATTTTCCTCAGAAGTCTCCCCCTCACTTTGAACACACTTATCCCATCATGACTGCCACTTTCTGAAACAATTCTGGAAGCTTCTTTCATGAGTGTCTTTGCAAGGTTTGATAAAAAAATATGGTGAATGCTGCTGCAGAGTGCCATCTAATGGAAAGTCAGGCTCATTGAAATGTTACAGCGTGTCCTCATCCACCTTATTCACTGGATCTGGCACCATGCAAGTCCTGGGTCTTCTCCAAAGTCAGAGTGACCATGGAAGGTAAACATTTAGAATTGATTCAGAATGTCAAGGTAGCTACAATGGTACAACTAAAGAGACTCATGACACAGGACTTCCAGAAAGCTTCAGACAGTGACAAGAATAATAGAATAAGTGTTTGAAACAAGGGGAAGCATTTTGAAGGGCATAGTGCTCAATGAGCACTGTACATCATTTCATTTAATCTGAACCTTGATTTAGTGGGTTACCTCTATTTTGCCCATCAAAGATTTGAAAATGATGCTTATTGGCTAAGTAACCAAGTCAGTAGGCAAATGAGGAGCTAGTATTTAAAACTAGGGCAAACCAATAACACAGATGGCTGTGTGATCCCAGCCAGCACACTTACAATGACTAAAGCATGAGTCCCTAAGATTGTCTGAAACATAGATTTGAAATTTGACACTCAATGAGATCATCAGGTTAAAAAAAAAAAAAAATCAAAGGGCAGGCTAGCTTCCAGGCGGCACATGGGGCTTGGGAACTAAGAGAGCACTGCTGTCACCAACATGGAGAATTTATCCTGCATTGTCCTCCTGGTGCTCAAATGTCCCAACCTGAAGGTGAAGAAGCCACGCTGGGTGCACGTGCCATGATGGTGTGTACCCTGGTGATGGTGTTCTCCTTCCTCATCGCAGCAGGAGTAATTTATATGATCACTGAACAACCAAGTGTTAGCTCCATGACTGATGAACGCAGGCTTCAGAGGATAGTAGCTTTCTTGGTTTATAGAGTAAGGATACTATATCATGGAGGAACTAGCATCCAGCTTCCTGTTCAGAAGCGGAGGTTTAGGTTTCACACTCTTGGGACCAATCCAATGCACCTAATATTCCAAAGCTTAGTAGACTGCGTCTTCTATTCATTTGACTCATCTAGGTCCTATTGAGTTTTTGTGTGGAGAGAGTTTTCACGAGAATGAAACTGCCAAGCTATCTGCCAAGAGTGCCTTTGGAGAAGAAATCAATAGATATGGATTTTCTCCTGTTAATGGAATATTAAAGGCTGTACCAATCCTCCACAATGAAATATGGAAAAGGATGAAAAATATGAAAAAAGTGTCAAGTGAAAAGGAAGCATCAAAGAAGCATTTAAACTTGAAATGGGATTTTTTGATATCCGAGACAAGCTTGTCACAGTATTTTTCTCCAGCTGACCTATTCTGATGTACCAGTGACATTAAGTGGTACCTCCTGCACAAACTGAATGAACAGCGGGACGTCCTGGCACTGGTGGAAGTGAAGATGAAAGAGATAAAG